ACTTCAGGGAACAAGGGCTTTATCCTCTTAATTATGCAAGTAGGAAATCCTGATTTGTTTTTATACTTGGGGAGTTGTTAGAGCCATGAAAACAGGCTGATTAGCAACACTTAGACTATAGTTGATTGCTGTGCTAAGTAGGAGAAAATGTCACTTGATTAATAGGTTTTGGAAGCAGAAAAGTAACGTGTGTGAAATTTCTTTTGCAGCTTAATTGTAGCCAGCAAGTTTCATCCCACTCCTTTATTACTTTCTTTACTGGAATTTGTTGCTCCTTCAAGGCCTTTTGTTGTCTACTGCCAGTATAAAGAGGTAAATCCAGTATGTCACCTTAGCTGTTATAGTTCAAGTTTGAGAATGTTCTGCTGTATAACCTACTATTTGCATTTTTTTAAGCCATTATTAGAATGTTACACAAAGCTGAGGGAACGAGGCGGTGTTATTAACCTAAAGCTGTCTGAAACCTGGCTACGAAACTACCAGGTAAGGATTACAGTAAGCGATTGTCAAAACTGCACAAATACTGGGGAGCAAAACAGTCTGAAGGTAGTTTTTTGCACTGACTGAAACTAGGTATAGTGTCATGCATTTGTTTTTACCTGAGAGCAGTGGGGAAATATTCTGAAGAGCTATAATGCTTCATTGCAACATTTTCAAGTGGAAATACATTAATTTTTTTCTTACAAAGCATTTCAGTTAAACATTTGCTGAAATAGTTGTAGCACACTGACAGATTTAATAGTTGTGCTGCTTTAGTGGCTAGCCTAAAGTGAGGGACAACTCAGTGTCATGTAAGAGAGATGTAGCAAGATATTACTAGAGTTTATTCGTTTCCAGTTGGTTTGATAGCTGAAAAAAAAAAAAAAAAAGGTGATGTTAAGAATGCTGGTGACTTAGAAAGTCAGTGTCTTCAGATAACACGTTTCCTGGAACTAAAGTAACAAGAATTTTCCGGTCTGGGAACTGCCCAATAAAAACAAGATGAGAGGGGAAAACATCTCCACAGTGAAAAACGTCAGTGCAAGTAACTTTGAGCAAGATGTTTGCAAATGTGCAGCACCCTCTCAGCTATGAAGAAGCAGAAGCGTGTCTGATCTCTAAGCAGCTCACCACCTCTGAAGAGGTTCTTGCATTTTACTGACTTTCTCCTTGCCTGTAGGCTTCTGGAGTGCGTAAGGAATTATTATTTAGGGCAGGACTTAATTCAAGGGTGGCCACGACCACTGCCTATTGATCAGGCACCCAAACCGGGAATGATAGGAGATTCATAGATGAAGATGTTCACACAGGTTGGGCTTGGTGCAGGTCACTGTGTCCAGGTGCAGTTAGGACCAGTACTGCCACATCTCCTGGGTGCAGGAAAATTAACTTAGAGCCATGGTGGCAGTCCTAGCAAGGAGGAAGTGTAACTGAAGAGAAAGCATTTACAGAAAAGTATGTCGTAGCTGAAAGTGATGGTGCATTGCTGCATCTTACCTTAGGGTAGCTCCATAAAGATTACAGTGACAAAAGTGGAAATTACTGTATTACTCCTCACTGTTTTGTTAGACCAACGGTGGTTTCTTGCAGAGCACACCAGTTCTGAACACATTAATGAGGCTTTCATGCATCCCAAACCTTGACTTCATAATTTTGCTGGAAATGCCATGAAGAGCTAATCAATAGGGCAGTAGCCTATATTCTTACATATCTCTATAACCAGTTTCTGGTATGCAGATACTTTGCCCTTTAAAGATAAATACACTTTCCAAATGTCTGTTTGTTGTGGTGGCTGGAAAAAAAAAAAAAAATTACATCTTATACTGTAAGTTTAAATTACACAATTTGATGCGCACGTAGCGAGTGAGTTTTTACAGACACTTAGAGTTTGGTTTGGTTTGTTTTGGGTTTTGATTTTTTAAAAGGTCTTACCGGATCGAAGCCATCCAAAGCTGACGATGAGTGGAGGTGGAGGGTACCTTCTATCTGGTACAACTGTTGTCTTGGATAAGGGCAAATCTGATTCCAGTAATTTAGAAGCGCTGAAGATGGAAGAGCCGTCAACTAAAAGATGCAAAGTTCAAGACCTTCCTTGTTAACATTTGAAGAATTGCTTTGATTTTTAGATCTCAGGAGTCTTACTGTTAGTAAAACAACAAGTATACTTTCTGTGCTCTTGACAGCACAGAAATTGTACCTGTCACACACCTGTCAGCAAAAAGCAGCAGAACTGTGTGGTAGGAAGGATTGTCTCACTCTGAACCAGTTTCCATGATCAGAATAAGAAAAACCCTTGGAAGCAAAAATCCCCCTGAAAACGCACTGACTTCAGAAAGAAGAGGAAGCATCATTCTGATTGCTTGTTGCCAGAAGTGGATATGACGAAGGCATCTTTTTAAAGGTCGAGCCCAAATCAAGACATCTAACTTAGCTTCCCGTTCTCTCAGAGCAGCATCAGGGTGAAACATCCTACGTGGTGATCTGCTCCTTATTTGGACACCGAACCCAGCCACGTTTAGTAACGTGAGGAAGTGGAATGAACTGCAAAAATGCTACACTTTTCTTTCCAGAAGAACAATAGAGAATACTAATACCAGAACTTTACAGCATGACCCATGTTTTCCTGAAATCCAGAAGAGAAAGTGCATGTTCATAAATTAAAATACCAAATATTTAAACAGAATGTCTCTATTAGTATTGTCTGTCATTTTCCTGAGACTTGTTACATGTTTTTATTTTAAGATACGACTATTTTGAAAACTGCTACATGTATATATATTTATTCTACTATTTCTCTTTCATGATGTGTAGCTTTTTTATTTTTTTAAATTTTGCATTTGCCATTTCGATTAAACTGCAGGATGTTTTTCCTAATGAGATTTATTCTTCTTACTTTTCCCTCTTTTTGGAAATAAAAAGTTCTAGCAGGGGCTTTAGGAGGAGAACACCCTTGCTGGCTGCACCCCGTGGAACCCACCGTGGGGAGCTTTAGGCCCAGATGGGAGCCCGTAGAGCCAGCAGGACTTGGCTTCTGTTCTTGAACTTGCTCATCAGGGGGAATCTGGAGCTTTGGGATCAAGTAATCAGACTTCATAAAGCTGTAAAATTCTGTATACTGATAAGAGTAATGCTCTTTTAGGAAACCATTAGCTCAGAACAAAACGGGGGCTCTATTTTGTTGAAAGAAGCAGCAGAAGATTTGAACATTTCTTTTAGTGAACAGATACACTATACCTTCAGGTTTTTGTCTACCTCTGTTCCAGTTTTTTCTAAACTTCCCATGTTGGGGTTGGGTGGGGTTTTTTTTTCTATTTTTATGGAAAGCTTTTCTTTTCTTCTCCTCGTTATATGAAAAACTCCTAAATGGAGAGATTGTAGGTTTCACAGTCTCTATTCCCCCAGTTAAGTGGATCTGAAAAATATGCTTTGCCCTCCTTGCCTTTCCATACAGGGTAAGTGTTGCAAATCACACATATAGGGAATAGAAAGGCCATGTGTGGTTTATACAAAGTTACTATTTTTTCTTATAATTCTGGGTTTCTCAGCTTCTTTCAAGAACTCACAGGGAAAAGGTGCGAAGGGAAGATGGGGTTTCCATTACTATATGCCTGCACCTGGATACTGAAGGTAAACTAGGATAAACTGGGACTTTGAAAGCAGCCAACACCCAGTACGTGATGAAATTCTGAGATAGCCTGGCTTAGAGCAATGGGTAGGAAGCTAGTGCAAGGCAAGAAAATTACAAAAATCGGTGTAAACCACGAGATCAATACTGAAAAACTGCCTTTTGCCTCGGTTTTCTTACCTGGAAAGCAGGCATAGGTGCGGCTCTGCCACTGCCATGGAGCTGGGAGGTACACGGCTCTCGTGCACTGCAAAGGTGTAAAAATTTACACAGTAAAAGTTTGGTTAAACAACCAACGTATGTATTGAATCCTGCTTTTTATTATATTTAATGTGCTAAAAGTAGTAACCTGAAAAAAAAATCTGGTTTATTTGTATACTAAAAAAAAAACAGCTGTGAGAAATAAACAGTATCAGAACACCTGAAAAACTACTTTAGATCAAAGCCAAACTGGCTTCATTTCAGCAGCATTAATGCTCTCGGCGCTGAATCCTCTCCCCCCGTTTTGAAATGTGCCGTAACGCTTGCACCAATGGGAGATAGGAAGAAACCAACAAAAAATTCATGGAAAATATTTACAATTATTGATGTTTCAATTTAGTCTCCACAAAGCGTAGCTCAGGAGCCTGGTCATCACCGGAGCCTCAAGGCAGAAGGGCCAAGGGCTTTTATCTCTGCAAATATAAAACACGACAACTTGGTATTGTGTAATTTTGGTCAACGCTGTGGAGAAAAGGAACTTGGCTCGGGTGGGCGGTGTGAGGAGCCAGCCCCCGGCACGCAGGCGCCCGACCGGCGCTGCGCCACCGTCTCTGCTGTGGTTCCAGGCACCAGAGCCCAACTCTGGCTGCCTTCACATCGTTTCTGGCAACAAAAAAAATTAAAAAAAAAATGCGTGCGCTCCGTGTCTCCTGAAGTTCTCATCCAAGCTTGAGCTCTCTGCCCAAGGAGGGGGATGGAGGAGGTGCCAAGTGCTTCTCGCCCCTCAGAGGAGCTTCAGCCCTTCCTCCGGCAGCGCCCGATCTCTCAACTGCTGGAGCCTCCACGGCCGAAACCGCCTGCGGCCGTCCGGCAGGGCCGGGGCCAGCGGAGACATGGCAGCGCCCGAGGAGACTCCGTACCTCGCTTCGGTCACAGAGAGAACATCCACCTGCCTTCACTCCGTAAGCAGGATAAAAATAGCAGAGAAGAAGAAAGAACTAGTTGCCAAGCTTTCCGTTCCTGTCTTTTAGTAAAGTCTTTTAGCTTTACTAAAAAGATTTTACCATTGCGCTGGGGTGCACGAGTCAGAAGCAAGACAAGGCTTTTTCAGAAGCCAAAACCCCAATTTCTGCTTCATTTGATTGCTTGGAACAAGGTTACGCATCGTCACATACCAATAGTCGGTGTAAGCCGTACCACCTAGCTTCAATGCCAGAAGCATGCAATTTGCCTTTAACTAATGCAAATTAATGTAAATTGTAGTGGAGGGCTGATTTAAAAAAAAAAAAAAAAATTCTTGGAACAGACGTAATGCAAATGTGTAGCTAAAAATGGCAGAGGCAGGAGCAGTCAAAACAGCAGCTCGGCGCTCGGTGCTCGTGGCGTCAGCCCCGCAGAGCCGCGCGCAGGAGGGCGGCAGCCGAAAGGGCTGTCACAAAGCTCTGGGAAGCTGCTGAATGCTATTTGATTTTTTAAAGTCTTTCAGGGGACAGGGTTTTAAGCAAAGCATTGCTGATTCGTGACTGTGTGTTTGCATAAGTGTAGCTTTAAAAACAACAACAAAAAATATATATACTATTACTTGATTTGCATTTTTGAGCAATTTAGGAAGTTTCCTGTGCTGCAACTAAAGCTTTTTGCTTCTAGGTATTTACAGACTCACAGATGGGCTTTCCCTCACGCAGGCTGGGGGAAGAACGTACTGTGCTGCAATACTTCTTGTATGGCATTGTAAATTTTAAAAGGGAGAGTCTCAGAATTTGAAGGCAGCAAAGTATTTCTGCAGCTGGGACACTCTCACTTTCCTCACTGTTGCTGGAGAAGCCTGGCGAAACCATGGTCCTACTGAAGTAAAAATTCTGTCAACTTCTTTGAGCCAGGATTCGACCTTCGCGTACCTGAACTGAACAAGATGAAACATTTGAGAGGTTCTCCCGACAGCCCGAGCCCCAGACGTGCTCACACAGTGCGGGGATCAGTAGCGCACCGAATATTTTACTGCCTTAACTGGAGAGTACGTCTGTGGATTAAATGGGTTCGGCTGAGATGACAGATGCTGCACATTTACTGGTAACGTGCTTCAGCTGAATTTTGTACAGCGCCTCTTTGCGTGGTGTTGACACGAGTAACCGAAGACACTGTCACAGCAGTAAAACAGTCTGTAAAAACCACGTTTGGCTCAGTTCAGTTCAACTGAACCCCAGATACCGGCAGTAGTTGAAACCAATGACAGGAGCATTCCTTTCACTGCTTCGTAGTGTGGTAAAATTACCCAGGGGCTCCTCCCACACACCGCTGACGTAGGGCATCGTACGGTTTGTGACCCGGAGCCCGTCCTGCCCCGCGCCCGCCGAGAAACTCCTCGTGCAAGGTGAGCAGCACGCCGGTGCGGCGCAGGCTCCGCAGCGGCGCTCACCACCGCCTGCCCGCCTGCAGTAAGCACAAAACACCTTAGCAAGGAACGGCCGCTCGGCGATTAAATTCAATGGGACTGAGACTTACTCAGACTAAATTAATTGGCAAAACCAATCCACCGCGTAACGCACTGCTTCTGAAGCGCCGCGTGGTTTCCAAATGAAGCGTCCATTCGGTGTTGCAAGCTCTTTGCTTCTTTAAGGACTCGTTTCCAGAACTAAATCATTCACAGGGTGTTTCTGGGTTACCGGAGCAAACTAACTGGCATTCCTTCTTACCAGCCAGGCTCCTGCTAACTGCCAAATCAAAGGCACAGATAGGCTCCTCGTAACTTAAAAAATACCGATGAACCGCAGGTGAACATTTTGTCCACAGTCCATCCACCTGATACAGCTTACTTGGCAATAAGCCAGTCACTCAGATAAGCAAGGAGAAAGTTTGGTCCAAGATCAACGGTTTTTATTATTTCAAACTCAGGCAAATGTATTTCTGAAGAACACAAACACAATTATTTTCACAAGCATATTAAAAATATCTGCCTTGCGTGAAAGGTTATAATACCAAAATTCATGCTATTCAGATCCCAATAGCATAACAGCAAATTAAAGACATCTTCAGCTGTCTAGATCACTACACTATAGTGGACAGTAAGTAGAATTTCCTGTTTTTCGGGCAAACAACAATCCAGTGGCAGTGAATTTACCACAAAATACAGGCATTGGGAGTACGGCTACACCTAGCTTTGAAACGCCAAAGCAGATCAACTTCAGCCTCTCCTGTTGTCATTAAACTTCTCAGCTATTTTCTGCAACTCCAAATCCATAGCAGCCAGGTTTTCCAGTTCTTTTTCCTGCGAAAACATAAAGAGCATTTTACACATCAAATAAGGTTGGCAAATGTTTTGTTCCATGAAAATGAGAGGCAAAGACCGCTCCTGAGGCAGAGGTCTCCTGCTACTGACTGGTCCCTGGGCGGATTGCTGGGGGCAGGAGCACACACTTTGGAGATTTGTACAATTTCCTGCTTTCAACCCAATTAGGGCTGGGGAAAGTAAATGCTGCGAGCGGGCCCTAATTACAGTTTGGTCTTTTTTAGCTTCAAAGCACCGTTAGGTAGCAGTGACCTCCCGCTGCCGCGCGCAGTCACTTCTGCCCAAGGTGAAGGAGACCCTGAGAGGCTACAACCCTACGATCACAGCGGTCCTGGCTCACAACACACAGCGAGCAGTGTGCAGCGAGAACACCACCTCCACCTTAGCAGATGCTGGAGGAGGGGGGAAAAAAAGTTATGCAGCCAATTCTTGTTTATTATGATGACTTCCTAACGGCGTTTAACCTCTCTATAAATTAGCATTAAGCCTCCGCTGCTCCCAGCCCAGCTCGGTGCAACAGCTACAGTGACATACGTAAGGAGCAACCAGCTGCCTCGTCCAGACTCCGTTT